ACACACACACACACACACACGTGTGAGGTACAGCACAGGTCAGGTCGAGTTTTGTTGAAAAGGATGGACAAAAAAAAAATAATCTCCATAAAAACAAATTAAAATGGGCTACGAGGACTGATGAATCTGATATCTATTGATGATTGATCATTATGAGCAGAAAGCATGTTTTCGGCGTGTTTGATTATTAGTTTTAGTATTATCATGCCTGAATTGTGGGTATTTTTGTTGTTTGTTTGTGACTTGGTGGTGGTAGTGTTGTTGTTGCTGTTGTTGTTGTTGTTGTTGTTGTTGCTGTTGTCGTCGTCGTCGTCGTCTTTGCAACTGCTGCTGCTGCTGCTGCTGCTGCTGTTGTTGTTGTTGTTGTTGTTGCTAAACGGTTGGTTTGAGAGAACCACTTGCTGGTCCTACTTTTTCTTCTTTCCATTGTGTCTGTCTATCTTGCTTTTTTTCACGCGCTCATTGGCCGTTATTCAGCTATTGTGTCAATGTGTTTCCCTTTAGCCTACTCAAACTCAAACTGTTGTAGCTGCAGCTACTGCTGCTACTGCTGCTGTTGCTGCTGTTTCTGCTGCTACTGCTATTACTGTAGTTGTTTTGTTGTGGTTGTAGTAGTTGTTGTCATTGTTGTTGTGTTTTTTTTGGGGTTTTTTCACGGGAGTTGGGGGGGGGGGCGCCACTGGCTGGTTCTACATCTCTGCTTCCTCTTCCCAAGCACTAAAATGACTCTTAACTACTCACTCATACATTATCACAACCTGAAAGTACTTTGTATTACTGATGTTTCAGCATTCTGAATGTGGTTGCAAATCGGGACAGGGCCGAACACAAAGCAGACGGTGTAAACGGGAACATACAGGCACAAGACGCGGACAGTGTTCCAGATCTGATCTTCTAAGATGTTTCATGTCAGCTTCATTGGTTTAAGTAAGAGTTTTACAGCGCTTGCTACACAGTTACAATGTATGTCATATAAGGGCCGAACATTAGAGGGGCTACAAAAGAGTAGGCCTAACCAAATGCTAAAAAGAAAGAGGAGAGATAAGGGGGATATATGTTTGAATTTGATAGGAAAAGAGGAGTAGGCCTACATGTAGCAAACCACGCCAAAGCACACGCCAACCATACACTTGTTAACTGCATGGTGCTCGGCTTGATCTGTAGGCCTACGGTCTCAATATCAGACAAACCTCGTGGAAAACGCTGATGATCAGTTTACTGAAATGTCTAAGTGATAATGACTTTTGTTACTGTTGTTGCTAGTTCCCATAAGGGCATGCCAATAAATCAGTTGGCATATATTTTGGCGGTGGACCCTAGTTTAATTCCCCAACAGAGTGGGATTTGGGGGGGGGGGGGGTGTGACTTTAAATGTTGGGGAATTTCAAGGCTCCCAATCCACTTGGCATGGTTCTTTTGGGGATAGTTTTTCAATTCTGGGGTCTGCCCGTTAGTAACTTCACTCCATGCATACAAGCTACTTAAAAGTTAAATGAAGCGAGTTCTCAATTTCGCAATAGCCACTCTATTGCAGTTTAACACTTTTTCAGGGATCTGAATTTCTGGCAAGGCAGTTGTAATATCTTGCTTATGGCCTGGTTCCGCATCAAAACCGTAAGCACATCGTATACTGTGCGTACAAGAAAGAGACAATCGCTTGATTTTTAGTTATATGGGGTGAGGGGGGGGGGGGTGTTTCTAGTAAACTACATATATTTGGTAATACAGTGCATAATATGAATACAAACCAGTTTAATCTATCATATATTGATGGTTGGAGATAAGTAACGACCTCTTTGGCGATGTCAAAACCCCAACATTCCGTAACTTAGTCTCATTCTGGGGGCTCTCGTGGTCTAGAGGTATACGGTGTTCGGCTCTCATTCGATGGGTCTCGGGTTCAGAACCTGACAGAGACGGATCATTTTTTTCTCTAAAATATTTTCTCCTTTCACCTCCTTTCCTGCTCTCTCATCATGTTCTGTCGTCTGCTTCCGTCTCCATGTTCTGGCCCCTCTCCCCCTTTGCTCCGTCCTCTGAACTCCTGACTCTTTCTGCTGTTTTTCTACGGCTATATGGCTACTCATTAACGACTAAAAAATTTTTACTGCTATTTTTACTGCTGTCTCTCAGCCCCACTCCTGATCTTAGGATGGGTAAGACCTGACATCATGCCTTCACGGATAAGGGCAAACAAATCTCAGAGGTCTCATGTGCAAGTTGTGCATGTTAAAGACCTCTTGGTGACCCTAAAATCGATCGATAAGAGTAGGCTTCGGCCACCACCCGGGAAAAATTCAAAGTTAATTCCAACTAAACGGAAACTGGTTAATTGTCCTGCGCGCTCATATGATCTTACCTCTCTGATCTTATGCGGTTGCTAGCGCCAAACACTTACCCCCCCCCAAAAAAAAAACAAAAAAAAAAAAAACAACCAAAAATTTTTTTTAAAAAAAAGATCTTATTCTTTCTGAGCATGTTTATAGTGGGTGAGCCGAGCCTGTGGTTTTTGAAGTAGCACAAAGAGGTCTTTGCTTCTACAATGTACAATGTAAAAGGAGCCACTAACAGGCCCTACTTATTATTTACTTTCTCTTTTATTATTACAAGTACAAGCTGGTGTACATAATATTAATACATGCGAAAATGTATTACATGACAATGTGCAGAATTGTCCTCTGTTCGCGTGTGTGTGTGTGTACGCGTGTATGTGTTTGAATGTGTGTGTATGTGTGTGTGTGTGTGTGTGTGTGTGTGTGTGTGTGTGTGTGTGTGTGTGTGTGTGCATGCATGTGTGTGTGTATTTGTGTACTGTGTGTGTGCACGTGGGTGTGTGTGTGTGTGTGTATGTGTGCGTTTGTGCCCGTTTGTGTATATTATGTGTGTGTATAAATGTGTTATTTGTGAGTGTGGGTGTTTTAGTATGAGTGTGGGTGCATTTGTATGAATAAAAATTATATGTGTCGTAGTAAAGGTATCAAAAAAGACACCAAGACTTGCCTTCCATACAGTATTCTTTAATGTTTAATGCCAAAAGATACACATAGTTTAGGCCTACCAAAACAAATTCCTGTGCCTGATCCTACTTTCATTTTTACGATGCCGTCTCTCTGTTTTTCTTAAGCTTTATTTGCTAAATTTTGCGGTAGCCAAGCACAGACTGCTGGTTTCTTGGATCTTTTGCTCTGATTTGTCATGTTTAGGCTCTTTATTTAGCCTTTTACTTCCCGTTCTGGAATATTTTCATTGATTGATTTCTACAATAAAGATCTGTCTTTATATTATATTTGTATAACAATAGGCTACTATATTATTAGGCCTATACCTGTATTATATTATATTATGTGTGTGTATATGACCTTTAAAACATGTGCTATCAGAATATCATCGGATTACTGTCAGAATGTTGACTATGAATATATTATGTATAATGCTTAAACATTATCATTATACATGTATCATAATATTATGTGTGTGTTGTTTGTGAGAATAAGCATAATATATATTATTTTGTGTGTATGTATGTGTGTGTGTTTGTATGCGCGCGCGGCGCGCGCGCGCGTGTGTGTGTGTGCGTGCACGTGTGTGTGTGTGTGTGTGTGTGTGTGTGTGTGTGTGTGTGTGTGTGTGTGTGTGTGTGTGTGTGTGTGCGCGTGTACGTGTGTGTGTTTGTTGTGGAAGGGAGGATGTGTGAGAGGGTAAAGTGTGCATGTGTTTTGGGAGGGGGTGGCGGTGAAAAAGCAAACCAAACCAATGTTCCAGTGTCAAGGCAATAAAGATGATCTTATCTTATCTTATCTTATCTTTTCTTATCTTATCTTATCTTATCTTATCTTATCTTATTTTATCTTATCTTATCTTATCTTGTCTTGTCTTATCTTATCTTATCTTATCTGTTAGTGAATGTTATTCAGTAAATAAACTGTATTTTTTGTCGAGGGTGTATCTCACAGTCCAGGTAGGAGCAAGCAAAGATTCACCCACGGGGTAGAAAATACATTGATACGAGATAAAATTAAATAGTTTGGAAGTCAGATTATCAGTCACCTACTTTAATCTTCCTCCCTCCTGGACTGACCCCATTCGGAGAAGATGTCCTTCTGTCGCACGTAGGAGACCCGAGTTTAATTCCCGAGTGGTTGAAACTTTTATCGAGTACGGTACCAATGTCAAATTAGTCTTTCTGCTTGGATCGTGTATCCCTCTCAGCCAAGGAGCTTAAAACAAGCTTACTGTAAACTCCTTGCTCTCAGCTCAGGTTGACTCTAGCAGGAAGGGTCGACATCCGCTTCCTAAACGATATAAATTGTGTCATTTGGGTCGTGAAAACTCCTACATTTTGAAAAGAAAGGTAAAGAAATGATGTTAAACATATGCTTTAAATGCAATGAAAACGGGGGCAAGGGTTGTTCCCTTTTATATTCACCATTTGCCCTGATTTAGTTGTCTTGGGTAGTTCTAGTTGAATCTCGAAGTCAGTTCGACTTTTTGTTACAAATCTATGTTTAAACTTATCCAGTTGTCAGTGAATTATTACATATATTCAATGCAAGGGTATGAACAAATAAGAGAATAATTCACGTCCTTGTTTCCTTGTTTACTGTGGTATTGCAAAATTAAGAGCAAAAAAAATTCCACTTCATCGTGATTGTGTATGAATATGATGTAATTTAAAAAAAACATGACATTGTTTAACCCCCCCCCATTCCTATTCTCCCCTTTTGTTCAAAAGTGTGGGAACCAATAATGCTCGACAAGTGAATGACTGAACTTCTTCGACACGGCATAGATTAACTGCATGTAGTCTACAACCAAATGAAACTTATTTGTTTATCAAATTTCGGTTCACTGTAGCAGTTTGGTTGGAATGATACTGTGCGTGTAGGTCCAAGTCTAGGTGTCAATTTAATTGATCCACGTCAGCAGGATAAGCAGTAGTTCGATATCTTCCGTTTCCTTTCTTAAGGGAATGTATATATAAT